ACTTAGTGCATTGCCTGACACACAGAGAGCTTTCAATAATCAACAGCTATTATGGTGAGGCAAGAGCACATACTGTTGAGTCATACCTCTAAGATTCACTTGGCTTTACCACTTTAATTTGTGTGAGACTGAGCAAAGCACTTAATTTCCCTGTGCCTCAGTTTCTTCACTTTTGAAATAAGGACAATAATAGTGAAGAATATGTACATATGTAACATATGTAAGGGACTTAAAATAGCATTTGACACATAAGTGCCATGCAAGTGTTAGTTGTTATGACTGCTGCTGTTGATTCCAGTTAGACTATAAATTCTTTAACTTATCATCTTTTTAAATTGATTTTCCCTTTCCCCCACCTACAAAATCTATCTGAGTGGTGAAACATAAGACTCACCAAATGTTTATTTGGGGGCATATTTAACTGATAAATCTGAAGTGACAAGGATTTACTGTGTTGTGCTTACTCAGCCATAAGGAACATTCTAAAGCAGAGGTTGACAGACCTTTTAAGAGCCAGATAGCAAATATTTTACTTTACAGACCATGTGGTGGTCTCTGGCACAACTTCTCAACTCTTCGGTTCTAGTGGAAAAGCAGTTATAGTCACTACATAAACAAATAAGCGTGGCTGTAGTTTTTTGACCCCTTCCCTAATATCTAGACTGTCAGCTCAACAAGGACAGGACAGTCTTTTTCATCTTTGTGCCTCCTGTGACTAGCACATACTAGGTACTGTTGAATGTTTGCTGAGTGAATGAGCACAGAGATTCTGAACTACACAGATTTCAAGTATGTGGACATACTTAGAAAACAGATCACTTTTGATTCAGCAGGGTTGTCCTGGCATCAGAAATCAGTTCTTTCTCTTTTTTTTTTTTAAAGACATAGTCTTGCTCTGTTGCCCAGGTGGGAGTACTATAGCGCAATCTCCACTCAGTGCAACCACCACCTCCCGAGTTAAGCATTTCTCCTGCCTCAGACTCCCGAGTAGCTGGGATTACAGGTGTGCACCACCACGCCCAGCTAATTTTTTGTATTTTTTAGTAGAGATGAGGTTTCACCATGTTGGCCAGGCTGGTTTGGAACTCCTGACCTCAAGTGATTTGCCTGCCTTGGCCTCCCAAAGTGCTAGGATTACAGACGTGAGCTACTGCGCCTGGCCAGCCGTCAGTTCTCTTTGTCAGCTTTCTTTAGATGCCTGTAGGACCCTGATATTCCATATGCTCCTATGGCCTCTGGAGATGTGTGTGAAAATTGTCTTCTTGTGTCTTAGCCTACTTCTTGTGCTCGCAAAAAGGGACAGAGAGGAGGGAGAGGGATTCAACAATCCAGGCTGAGAGCAGTAAAAACTAGTACTGGTATTGTGGTTTTGCCCAAATATTTCCCTTGTGTGATGGAAGCCTTTGGAAGTGAAGCTTAGAATTAAATACAGGGCAACCTGAAGCATGGTGAAGCACTCCAATTGCCTTTGCCTTGCAGAGCAGTCCATCATCAGCGAATATGAGAAGAGCTTGCAGTTTGATGAAAAGTGTCTCAGTGTCATGCTGGCTGAGTGGGAGGCAAACCCACTCATCTGTCCTGTATGTACAAAGTAAGAGTTAAAACCTTTTCAGCATTATTCATTCCCATTCCCCACTCTTAAGTGAGTGGCATTTTCCCCCACATTTGTTGCCTGAAAAGGTTTGAAGATCCAGGTCTGGTGGCCATGATGCTCTGGGATCCTAATTCTGCTTCTAGGTACAACCTGAGAATCACAGGCGGTGTGGTCGTGTGTCAGTGTGGCCTGTCCATCCCATCTCATGTGAGTGTTCCACAGATTTTGTGACCCTTCTTCCCACATATATCACTTTCTTGAAGATCCTCCAGGGCTGGCTTGGAGCCCATTGTGTTTATTTCTTCCCAATTTTATGTTCAGTGGTGTCACATTGACAGCTTCAAATCAGCCATGGTGAGAATATATACGGCATGAAAATTGGCAAACAGTACACATCAGGTCTTTTAGGGCCCTGGAGAGCCACCACTGCTTAAGTTTTTTATGGAGACCTCAGCTTGGAATTGGAAATGCCTGTATCTGACGTTCCATAAAAATTTTCTATATATGAAGCCATACCCAATTCAGGATTTAAGTTTCAGTAATCTTAAAATACAGAAGGAGTCCTTTTATCTGGCATGTGTGGACTGAAGTGCAAATTTGCCAGTTAATTGAGCAGTTGGTTAAAGAGGCAAATTATAAAAATAAAATGTTTTATGGAAAGTTTCAAACACATAAATTTATTTGACAGCCTTTGAGTGTGGCTCTGCTGGTTGGAGAGCTGAGTCACGGGTTTTATTTTTATTTTATTTGAGACAGAGTCTCACTCTGTTGCCCTGGCTGGAGTGCAGTGGTGTAATCTTGGCTCACTGCAACCTCTGCCTCCTGAGTTAAAGCAAATATTCCTGTCTCAGCCTCCTGAGTAGCTGGGATTACAGGTGTATGCCACCACACCCGGCTAATTTTTGTATTTTTTTTTTTCTTTGTTTCTTAATTTTTGCATTTTTAATAGAGATGGAATTTCACCAATACAAACTCCTGACTCCGTTAATCCACCCACCTTGGCCTCCCAAAGTGCTGGGATTACAGGTGTGAGCCACTAAGCCTGGCTGAGTCACCTTTTTTACATAACCAACTCCTATAATATATAGTCTGGAGTTTCCAGTTTTAATTCCATAAAGTGGATCAAGCAGCTGAGTATAGAACTTTGGAATTTTTCCTCCCCATCATTTACCTAATTCTATAGCTCTTTTTCTTTTTTATAAAGCAGCTCATCTTTCAGAGTGTTTTTATAAGAATAAGTGGAAAGAATAACTTTCCACTTATTCTTACAAAAATAAAACTTCATTATTCCCCTGTATCATTGATTTACTTAATAAGTAATGTTATTGAGTTACAGTAGCAAGTTCAAGTAACCCAAGCAGATCTGGGAGCAAATACTAATAGTTATTGGTAAGGATGCACTCAGCTAGTAAGGGCAGAGGCAGAGGGAGGCTGGAAAGTAGTCTGCATCTCTGATTGTTCTTCCTGCCATGTGTGGCTGTCAGTGTGTTTTACAGCAGGAGTAGAGGGCATTGGTTCATTTGGAGAGGCAGTTAAATGGAGATTGGTTAGGAGATCTTCTTGGTACAGTCATGGACCCAAGAGTATCTATCCTTAAGCCTCCAAAGAATCAAGCCATCAGTGAGCCACAGTTACATTGGTTGGCATAAGGAGTGAGGATTTTCAATCTGTTGGCTATCAAGTCACTAAGATGAGGTTGAACTTTTTTATTTTGTAGTCTTCTGACTTGACAGAGCAGAAGCTTCGTGCCTGTTTAGAGGGTAGTATAAATGAGCACAGTGCACATTGTCCCCACACACCTGAATTTTCAGTCACTGGAGGAACAGAAGAAAAGTCCAGTCTTCTCATGAGCTGTCTGGTAAGCCTCTCATGGGACCCAGACTGTGGTGGGGTCTGTGGTTGGTTTTATTTCCATCTCGATAGAAGTAATGGCCTAGAAACAGGTAAATGTTTAATGCAGTTTATTCTCTAAGGAGTTTACTTGCATAGAAAAGTGAAGGTAACAAGTCATTTCAACTCAAAGGCCAATCATTCTCTGAAACGAGAAGGGAAGATGCAGCGTAGGATCATGACAAGAGGATTGGTCTGGGAGTTAGGACGCCCAGCTCCACACCTGCTCTTGTTAGATCAGCAGTGGTCATTTTGGATTCAGCTGGTAATTTCATAGTCAGAAGACCTAGATAGGCCATACTGGCACCACTTTTGCCAAAGGAAACAGGGCAGAAAGCATAGCAGGGAAGCATTAGGTTTGGCTGTCAGCAGAGTTTTCACAGAGGTCCAAGGGCTAGTCACTAGCCTGAGTGACAGCTGAGGTGTGAGGGACAGAAAGACAAGTGGGTATAGGAACCACCTGTCTTAGAAGTCTTAAGCATGCTATAGGAACCAGTATCTCTTATAATCATGTAACATATATGTATATGTATATGTATGTGTGTATATATATCCACACAAACACACATAAAATCAATAGGATATATATTATTATTATTGCTTTTTGGTCCCAGGGGAATTCAGGGATTAGGAGCATACTGTACTTTAGGAAGTTTATAGCCATGGCCTTCTACTGGGTATTTAGAATTCCTTCATGGCCCTTTCATTCCAAATGCAATTAACTTATAGGGGTCATTTTTATTATAAGCAGCACTGCCTAGTAACACAGCCATTTCACCTTTATCAAGTTTCTTCCATAGGTATTTAATTCTACTCATTCATTAAAAAAAAATTAACTGAGGACTTATTAAAATTCAGAAATACACATCTCTCACAGAGCTCAAGTCTTGGGTTGGTAATAAGAGAACAGAATAAACAGGCAGTATTCCTGGAGAGCTGTAGAGGGAGGGCTTTTGGGAGTTCAGAGGAGGGTAATGTCACTTACAGTGATACCTTCCTGGAGGAGGCATTTAACTTGCCCTTAAAACATGGAATCGATCTGGACAGACACGGAGATCTGGCGAGTTGTAGGGTTAGAGCTTAAGTGGAAGATCCCTACATGAAGAACAAGGCAGAGAAGCAGGAAACTGGAGTGTATACAAAGAGCATCTTGTTCTGCTTAGCTGGAGCATTAGGTTCATGAGGGAGAGGGTAGTTCCTGTTAGGAATAGGAAACAGATTCAGAGGAGTGAAGTAATTTGGCTGGAATTTTACTACTAAGTGATAGAGCTAGTATTAGATCCCTGATCTTTCTGGTTCCAGTGTCCCTGCTGTTTCCTGCTCCAGGCTCAGGCCTTGGTGGAAGGATGCTGTTTTCCATCAGCTTGTATGGAAAGAAACATAGTAGATGAAAGTTCAAATGAAACCCCTTACTACTTCCTGTGGACTACAGGCATGTGTTCCCCTCTGTCCCAGCTACCCAGCGCTGGTTGCAGACGTTCGAATATGCAGGTGCTTTCAGGCTTCTGTGCTGTTTGTTCTGTCTGAATGCCTTTGACTCCTCCCCCTCCATTTAAGGATCATTTGCACAGATATTTATTGAGCACTACAATAGGCCATGTACTTCATTCAGCCTGATTCCTCACATGGAATTGGCCAGTCTTGGCCAGGCATGGTGGCTTGTCTATAATCCCAGCACTTTGGGAGGCCAAGGCGGGCAGATTCCTTGAGGTGAGGAGTTCAAGACCAGCCTGGCCAACATGGTGAAACCCCATCTCTACTAAAAATACAAAAATTAGCCGGGCGTGGCGGTGGGTGCCTGTAATCCCAGATACTTGGGAGGCTCAGGCAGGAGAATTGCTTGAACCTGGAAGGTGGAGGTTGCAGTGAGCTGAGATCACACCACTGCACTCCAGCCTGGGTGACAGAGTGAGACTGTGTCTCAAAAACAGAACTGATGGCCAGGTGCGGTGGCTCATGCCTGTAATCCCTGCACTTTGAGAGGCCGAGGTGGGTGGATCATCTGAGGTCAGGAGTTTGAGACCAGCCTGGCCAACACGATGAAACCCCATCTTTACTATAAAAAATTAGCCAGGCATGGTGGTACACGCCTGTAATCCCAGCTACTTGGGAGGCTGAGGCAGGAGAATCGCTTGAACCTGGAAAGCAGATAAAGTGGAGGCTGCGGTGAGTGGATATCTCACCATTGTACTCTAGTCTGGGCAGCAAGAGCAACATCCCCCCCCCTTTTTTTTTTTTTTTTTTTTTTAAAAAAAAAAAAAAAGGCCAGTTCAGGAGTCCATTCCTTTGGAGTCTGTTACCATTCTCAGTAAACCTAACGAGGGCTGGCAGAGGGGAATTGGCTGTTCTCTCCTTGGGCTTCCTCTGTACCTTATGCCGTGTCACCTATAACAGTGTTGCAGTTACTGCTCCTCTTTGTCGATATGGACAAAGATACGGACCTTTGAGGGCAAGGTCCGTATCTTTATTTTTACTCCCTGTGCTCGGCATATATTAATAAATAGGTGCTTAATATGCTTGTACAAATGAGTTAAGGTGGAGGGAGGAGAGCTGAAGAGGCACAAGTAGATGGTTTTGGCTTCTGCCTTCTTGGTAAGGTGAACAAGTGAGTCATCCACACAGATTATAATGATGTCTGGAGCTCTTTAAGTATGAAAGTCCAAATGCTGGGGGGTATGAAAAGGGCAATTAGAGTAAGCGGAAGACTGCCTAATTGCTGAGTGTACAGCTTCAGCTCAGCATATACTTGTTATGGACCCCAGTTATCCACTCACCTAACTGTCAGTGCTGTGGCTCAGAGCAGCAGTAAAGCCAAGTGGGTAGTGAGGTTTGGGAGGTGAGTGCTATGCAACAGTCCTGGAGATCGTAGTTGGCAGTGTGAGCTCTGGGGTGGAAAGGGAGACCATTGTTGGTTAAGTCGGGGGAGGTGGGGGATCACAGCAAACACGAGAAGCACAGCCAGGTGCTGCGGCTCATGCCTGTAATCCCAGCACTTAGGAAGGCTGAGGTGGGTGGATCACTTGAGGCCAGGAATTCAAGACCCGTCTGGGCAACATGATGAAACCCCATCTCTACTAAAAATACAAAAATTAGCCAGGCATGGTGGCTCATACCTGTACTCCCAGCAACTCATGAGGGTGAAGTGGGAGGATGGCTTGAGCTCAGGTGGCAGAGGTTGCAGTGAACTGAGATGATGGTATTGCGCTCCAGCCCGGGTGACAGGGAGACTTTGGCTAAAAAATAAAAAAACAAGAAACAGGAGGGTAAGACAAAATTGTATTCTGTAGGTTCTGAGTTCAACATTTGGAAAGCTCTAGTTCCAGTGTGCCACTCAACCTTTGATTTTCACTTCTTAAGGGGGAATCAAGGACCATTGGGTTAGAATTCAGTGAGGTCAGGGTGTAGGGTAGCTCAGCATAAATGTTGAGGACGTGCTGGAAGATAGATGAGGTGGGTTGCATAAGATGGTGACATATTATAGGAATATTTCAGATGTGAAGGTGCTCAGGTGGTCATGGGGATGGAATATGCTAAACCACCCATTAGCAAGGCTATAGTGCCTTTTAGAGAAAACCAAATATATTACCTGTGGAAGTGGTAAGAAACAAGGGTAACCCATTTATGCCTAGTGTTCCATTATTGAACACTAAACCTGTGGGAGTTATTGATGCCCTACTGCTCAAGGTCATCCCCAAGTTCTGATTTTTCACACAAAAAATTTGCATAAATGGGTTAAGGACAAACTGGATTCCTTAGCATATTGGTGGGCTGAGCCATCGAGGAATTGGGAGCCAGTTTTACACTCAGGTGCTTACTGTTATTACAAATCAAGGGGAAGACAGTTTTCTGCCTGTACTAATCATGCATGGTTTGTACCTCCCCTATGATACATACCTGAATCTTGTGTAGATTAGGAGTCTCATCTTCCTGCCGGGCTTTAAAGGCCCCAGGCTATCAAGAGTTTGAATAGTCTTTCTGGTCACTGGTTTCCTGAGGGTAAGGATGTTTGATTAGTTCATCTACGGGATTTAATCTTAGCTTGAAGACTATATTGATGCTGAAGGTTTCCAAGGCAGTTGTTTGTTTGAAGGTTGCAGGGCAGAGGCCCAGCAAAGCAAGAGGGGCAGTCGTCAGTGGCCTTCTTGACAAACGACACTAGTGATAACTGTCATGCCTAAAATACAATTTAAGCTAATTATTTTCCTGTTTAAACCTAGGCTTGTGATACTTGGGCTGTGATCCTCTAGAGCCAGCTTGGAGTCACATCATTCTACCCAGCTGAAGACAACTCATTTCCTCTGAGGAGCCTTGTACATATAAATCTTTTAACTTATTTTGTATTGAAACTTCTCAGCAATACCGAATGAAAAGAAGAGACACCTTTTTCAGCATCTGCTCTTGGTTTTTTGTGATGCAGGTTGAAAGGGGAGGAACAGAAAAGACAAACTGCCTTGGAGGAGATAAACCAATTTTATTGTCTATTATTATGTTATACAAAAATCTACAAATAATAGATTTGTACAGAAAAAAAGGTAATAAATGAGAGCATAAAACATATATAATTTAAATTTGGTATTTTTTTCCCCATGATATTAGGATGATAATCATTTCAAAGCATGTGTCTAGCTTCAGACTTGGATTTGTTCAATGGCCAAAGCCTGCCGTAAAACTATGGCTTTCAGTGTCTGTCTGCTCTACTTGCTCTTGACAAAACTTTTGAGGTCTTCAAGAAAAGTAATGTACTCCTGGTGCTCCAGGGCTGTGCTGAGTTCCACCAACTCATCTGCAAAAGTGTTGTCCACCCCTCGGTCCGCAAGGAAATCCATTAGGTGGTCATATAAGGCCTGCAAAGAACAACATTTACTAGTTAAAAAAAAAATCTCTAATTTCCATTAAAATTCTTCTTTCTCTCCTTGAACTAGGACCCTCCCTTGCAAGGTCCAAAAGGTTCCCCCATTTATCAAGCACTCACCCAGTCCAGGGAATCTGTGTTGAGTGTATAATTGGTATCCTTCCATTCAGAATCGCCAGTGGACTGAAAGCTAACTTCCCTGATAGAGAAGATGTCACTCTCAGCCTCATCCTCTTGTCCAACCTGAGAAGAAACAGTATCTGGGGAAACTGAAGGGTTTTCCAGGGCAAGCCAGACTCATGCAAAGAAAGGGGGTCACTGACAGCATATCACTCATTAGGTTTTAACCCTCTTCCCTCACTCCATACCTCTCCCTCCCCTGGCTTTGCTGGTCTAAGCTAGAAAATCTTTAAATGTCTGCTAAATGGGACAGGAAGTTCCCAAGAGACACGCTGTGTTCCCCAGGAGTACCATGGGGCTAGCACTCCACCCTGCATACCTCATCTTCTGGATAATGACAGTCCAGCACAAGGGCCTTCTTGCCATCATTCTTTATAACTTCAACCACGAAATTGGGGGTTGACGTCAATTCAGGCTGGGAAAGGAAACAAGAAGTCAGTATATGCTATTGCTGGAAGGAGATGGATGCCTGGATCAGGGATCTCAGATAGTTCAGAGTGTCTGATGGCCATCACTGTTAGGATACAATGTAGCCATTTTAATAGTCTTATGTCATACTGTTCCCAAATGAAGAGCTTTATCTCTTCATAGCTCAGGCTTATGATCCCAACACTTTGGAAGGTTGAGGAGGGTGGTTCACCTGAGGTCAGTAGTTCAAGACCAGTCTGGCCAACATGCTGAAATCCCATCTCTACTAAAAATACAAAAATTAGCCAGGCGTAGTGGTAGGTGCCTGTAATCTCAGCTACTCAGGAGGCTGAGGCAGGAGAATCGTTGGAGCCTGGGAGGCAGAGGTTGCAGTGAGCCACGATCTTGCCATTACACTCCAGCCCAGGCTGATGACAGTGAGACTCCGTCTCCACAAGAAAAAATAAATAAAAGGATACCAGCCTCAGCCATGTGCCAATTAACTGAGTTTCTATCAGTCCCTTAACATTCCAAGCCTTTTTCTCTACCCATATACTGCAGAGCTTTCCTAAAGTTTCAAGATCTCTTTCTAGCTTGACTGTTCCAAGACTCTTCATAAGGGACCAGGGTCAAAGGCTGGGGAACCTGGTTAAATGGTCAAACTTATGGCTGAATAACAGCAGCAACTTTTCCTGATGGTGAGCTCTGGGAGCAGACTGGGTCCAATGTCAGAGAAATGATAGTTGGGGTGGCTGGGAAAGAAGCATACCAGAGAGCTATGCTGACCACACCAGGTCATGAAACAACACTGTATCGATGGCTGCTTTGGCAGAAGCTCTAGGGACTCTGTGGCCCTCATACTGGCTGGCTACTAGGCTGAGCACAGCACTTCTGAAAATGTTGGAAGAGGCTGGGCATGGTGGCTCACGCCTGTAATCCCAGCACTCTGGGAGGCCCAGGTGGGCCCAACACTTGAGGTCAGGAGTTCGAGGCCAGCCTGGCAAACATGGTGAAACCCCATCTCTACTAAAAATACAAATATTAGCTGGTTGTGGTGGTGCATGCCTGTAATCCCAGGTACTCGGGAGGCTGAGGCTGGGGAATCACTTGAACCTGGGAGGCGGAAGTTGCAGTGAGCAGAGATTGCATCAGTGTACTCTGGGCAACGGAGTGAGATTCTGTCTCAAAAAAAAAAAAAAAAAAAAAATCTCCCTATCATGGGAGAGGTTGAGACCATTTCATATCCTTTCCATTAAGAGAACACTGTCCTCACTTCACCTACTTGATTGTAAAATAAATAAATAAATAAATAAAAAGAGAATACTGGCCAAACTACTAAGCCTGAGCTCGCAGACAGCAACATATTGAGTCCCTGGGAAAAGAAAGAAAAGGGAGCCACAGTGCTGCTAAAGCTGGTCAGAAACCACTGATTCCTCCTGCCTCAGTCTCCTGCATAGCTGGAACCACAGTCATGTCGCCACCATGCCCAGCTATTTTTTTTTTTTTTTTTTAATGTTCGTAGAGGCAGGGTCTTGCCATGTTCCTCAGGCTGGTCTCAAACTCCTGGCCTCAAGGGATCTTTCCAGCTTGGCCTCCCAAAGTGCTGGGATTATAGGTGGGAGCCATGGGCCTGGACTTAGAGGATTTTTTTTTTTTTTTTTTTAGATGAACAAAGAAAAATGCTCCTCCTCTCAGCCCCAGGGACAGCCTGTCAGAACTTAGGTAAAAGCTGATTACAGTGTTAAGCTTACCTCCTGTTCTTCAACCTTCTGCCCTTTCGAGGGTTCCTCCCCCCCATCAAATGTTGGTGGGATGCTGTTGTTAATGTTGAAAGTGACAGTGATTCTAAAAGGGCAAGAGACAACAGACAAGGCAGAGTTTTAACTGAGTAGGTTAACACATAAACATGGAGGTCTGCTACAGTTAAAAAGGCCTATTGAAACAGTCTCTATCCTGGCTGGCTGAGTTTCATGCAGAACTTCAAAAAGGTTAGGTGCCTACCTCCAATCCCCAGTGACTTAGCAGGCTGGAAGTGTGCCTACCATGTGACAGCTGCTGGAAGCCAAAGCTGGCCTCAGTTTATCTCAGCCAAACAAGTCATGCATGCGTTACTCCCAACAGGCCAGTATCCCAGGGCTCACTGCCGTGTGTTGACTGGGCATCTCATGTCCATAGTCAGCAGACACTGCTCACCCTGGTCTTTCCAGGGAACGCTTGGTAAAAGTAAGGACCTGAGAAGCTGGTGAGATGGAACAGAAGCCCCTTTAAGAACCTTCCCCATCAGAAAATCTGCCCTGCAAGGAAAGGAAAGAGCAATGGAGGGTGAGAGCACCCTGGCCCCAGGAGGGGGATGCCTCACAAAGAACAAGGGCTGTAGTAAAGTCATTCTTCAGAGTACTTATGGGAAGTTATATCATCACAAAGCAGGCCAGAAAAACCAACTAATGACAATTTTAAGGTGCAAGAATCCACACATGACAAATCATGTTCCAAAGTTTGAGTCAAAATTCCTGAGATTTAGAACATGATAGACCTGCTGGACTACGCAACTTGGGCAGGGACCATTCAAGAGTACATTAAGTGCTGCCCCCTCGACTTGTGCTAACTAGCTGCTGTGCCATGAAGTTACTTTCCCATAGTAACAGTGGCAGTCCCAAGTCGACAAAAATCTATTTAATTCCAACTATGCTGACCAAGCTGAGCTCCTGGGCACAGAAATGCAATGATGTTCGTCAGAGTGTTATTTTTAATGCCCCCAAATAGCTGTGAAAAGCTTGTGCAAATGGTCTTTAAATGAGATTACAGAAGACACAACTGACCTGTGTATGGGAAAAAACACACTATGCAATAGGCAAAAAGAATCAGGACCTTACTTCACACCATACTCAAAATGGATCGGAGACCTAAACTAAGCTAAAACTAGAAAATGCTTTGAAAAAAATAAGGCATCAATCTTCACAACCTTGGGTTAGGTAGTGGTTTCTTGGATGTGACACTAAAAAGCACAAGTTGGCCGGGTGCGGTGGCTCACGCCTGTAATCCCAGCACTTTGGGAGGCCGAGGCGGGTGGATCACGAGGTCAAGAGATTGAGACCATCCTGGTCAA